GTGCGCACATGCAAGGGGAGGGGAGTGGGTTCTTCTAGTTTGGGACAACTTATCCAACGTCCATAAACCTGACTTCCCCATGGGACAGACATCATATGGGACACATGGATGCTTTAATGATGTCCCTCAGGACGCGGGGCATGCTCATGGGGTCCAGGTCTCTGCCTTCAGAACCCAGCTGGGAGCCAAAGGATGTGGCCACTGGCTGCCTCACAAGGCCAGGTCACGGGTGCAGGGAACAGCCCTGCTCCCTTCTCAACCACCAGCGAGGGCTTCGGAGGAGGCTGGAGCCAGAGCCTGGAGATGCGGGGGGTGGTGGTGGAAGGTTCTGGAAACAGGATCTGGAAGCAGGTGAGGGGAAGCCCTGGATTGAGGAAGGGAGAAGGAGACCACCAAATACAACCTGTCTCCGCCCTCATGGCAGCTCTCCCTACACCTCCCCCCATTCTGGTGGCTCCAATCTTTTCCAAAGCCTTAGCACCCTAAATTCAACAGCCTTGTCCAGCCTCCTGCAGCTCCCCTCCTGGGCCACTGCAGCCGCATCAGCCCAGCGCCCCCAACTCTCCCTGCCTGCCTTCCCCGAAGTCCCCTCCACCAGGAAGCCCTCCAGACACAGCAGCCTGGCCCATGGGTGGGGGTGGCTAAGTCTGCATAAATTATGCACGAGGGTCGCGGGCTCTGCATAAATTATGCCGGAGCGCTCCCCGCCACCCCCCACCCCAGCACCCCGCAGCGGATAGCGGTGTCCCTGGACCCTTGGATAGCGGTGTACCCAGGCCCCTGGCACTGCCTTGCTACAAGCCCAGCACTCACGACTTCTTCCCCAGCCCCATCCATCGCGCACCGGGAGCGGAGGGACCGGCCCCGCACAGCCACCCGTCCCCGCCCGCCTGCCCGGTGACATCAGCTCCCAACTGCCGCGAGAGCCGCCAGGGCGCAGCAGCAGCGGGGCGCAGGCGGTCCCCGCGGCCACCCGCATGGCCAGGGTCCTGGGCAGGGGGCAGTGTTGGCACACTCAGGAGCGCAGGCCTGGGCCTGCCTACCGTGGGCTCCGCCCTCACTTCGGCGGGGTGGGGGGCGGGGAGGTCCCTGGGCATTTGCGGTGGCCTCAAGGTGACCCCTGAGCCCCTGAGAAAGCAGATGAGACCCAGCCCAGAGAAGCTGCCAGGTCCAGAACGGATGTGCAAGTTGGGGGCCTGAAGGCGTCCTCCAGCCCCAAATGCACTTTCCTATGGCCCTACCGCCTAGAACTCACCCTTCCAGTGGGAACCTCCTAGCTGGCACTCCCCTGGTAAATTGCAACCACCAGCACCTGGGTACACTACCAGCTTGGGGTGAGGTAAGGGCCAAGAGGTACCTAAAAACCCAGCTCCCAGTGGTCTGGCCAAGGGCCTCAGCATTCTGGAGCAGGCCTTGAGCCTGGTGCGTGGCCTCCTTCCAGCCCCCAGGACATGCTGGTCCTCATTCCCAAGCACAAAGCATCTATCTTGAGTTCCCTGAGAAAAGTCAGGGTCAGCCTGTGGCCTGGGGGAGGCCTATGGGGCTGGCAGGGGGGCCGGAGCTGGTGGACACAGCCCTCTGGGCCTGCCCCACGCTCCTGTCTGACTTCCTCTCTGCTTCTCACCACCCGGTCATCTGTCCAGCATCCCCACAGGGCCCACTGAGGGTAACCAACTCATGAGCTGCTTTAAGAACTTGATTGGCTGTGAGAACTTGACCTTTAAACACTTTGTAAACCAGAGAAGTTTCCATTTCACTCATGTTTCATATGAAAATTAAATAAGTAAGAGTAATTAATTAATCCCTACCTAACCACATCTCCACTCCCGTGCTCCTCAGAAGTGACACAGAGATCCCAGTGGGTGTTTAAGAGGCTGTATATCTCATGAGAGGAAAAGGCCCGTCTTTCACACATTGAGCTGCTGTTGGATTTGAACCGCCAAAGTGCACGCAGCCTTTTAATTATCAGCTCGAAGCCCTCTGACTTCACCATCAGAGCTCAGTACATAATTAAAACCCACTTTTTCTCCACTCTCATTTCCCCCCCTTTTTTTGGCAACTTAAGTTGCCTCCTTAAACTGTCTTCTTAAACGTACTCTTTGCTCCCTCACTGGTCCATTCCTGAAACATGTGTGTGTCTTCCTCTGAAAACCTGTGCTGGACACATGCTGAGCCTGGTGGACAGGGCTCAGCACCACTAGCCCATGGACACCAAGTCCCTCCACGCTGGGCAGGGGGCCTGGGGAGAAAAAGTACATTGATGGTGGGAGAGGGAGACACCGAATCCAAGCACTCAAACGCGTGGACCTGCTCTGTCTGAGGAAACACGCCTTGGTCCAAGCGTCCAGGAGCCATTCGGCAGTAGGGACACCGGAAGTGGGCTACACACCTAGGGGACGTCATGCTGTCATTCTTTTCCTTTCACTGATTAAGAATTAAATAGCAACAGAAGTGTGCGGTTCAAATCCACCAGGTGCTCTGCTGGAGAAGAAGGGGCAATCTCCTCCTGTACCAGTCAGATCTGATTTGACAGCACACACACAAAATATAATAAAATTAAATTAATAAAATAATAATAATTAAATGGTAGCATGTAACTAAAGAAACCTGGTTGTTATAAAGTCAGTTCCAGATCACGGACGGGAAGGAACAGAACGGCCTTCAATGGCGTTTCCCAGGCTGTGATTTCTTGGAGGTAAATCCCAGACCCTTTCTTCCAAGATGGGCTCAAACCCAGTAGACAAGTGCCTAACAGTCTGAGACACCCAAGGTATCCTCACATCAGCTGCTGTCTACTCTTGGTAGAGCACATTGTGGGAGGTTCCTGGTGGACACCTGTTACTAAGTGGAGGGTCAGCAGGAAGGAGAGAGACCCTCCCTAAGACGGACCAGCAATGGACTGAGTACCGCGGGGGCTGTGAGGATGGGGCTGGACCAGTCGTGTTTGGTGTGGACACAGGGTCCCTGTGAGCCAGCACCAACAATGGCCACTCTCTGGGCCAGGTGACACAGGATGCCAGCCATGGCCAGAGCCCCACAGGCTCCACGGGCACTTCTCTGTAAATGAGAAGGCAGTGGGCAGCCCCAAGGCAGAACAGAGGTCCTGCCTTTATCCAGCTCATGTGTGAAGCGCACAGCCGGAACCAGTCATGTGAGGCCACAGCGACGCCTGCTCTGAGGCCATGGCTGGTGAGGAGAGCAGTGCCTGGCCGGCACTGCGTGGTGTGGACAGAGGCTAAGGAGGGCAGCTCGGAGGAGGGGCGCAGAGCAGGGAGGCCCTACACTTTACTGTCCTGCATCTCTCTTCAAAGGAGCCCTGCATCATCCAGGCAGAAACTTCCACAGCTTCCCCCCATCTCCCCATTAACACCACAGAATCCTCTTAGAGCCCTTCCCAGATCCGATCCTCACGTCCAAGTCAACAGAAGACCTGAGAGATGGACCCATTATAGAATCCACCCAGCTCTCCCATTCTCCACGGGCGCTGCCATCCACACAGCCAGGTTTGCTCCTCAGGGCCCTATAATGACCTCCTCCCTGGTCGTGCCCCCTCACACCAATTCTCCACGTCCATCAGTCCTTCCAACAGGGCCAACGTTATAGTTAGAGTAAAATGCAGGTGTCTTGTCATGGCCCTTAAGGTCCTGTACGGTCTGACTCCTGTCCACCCGTTCAATCACAGCTACTACTGTGTCCCGGTTATATTCACTTGCCTTCCCACAAGCCCCTGCTCCACCGTCTGTCTGGAAAGCTCCTCCTGTGACCCTCACATCTTACCTCCTTCTGCCCTGGGCTTGAAGAGTCTCGGGGAGCCCTTCCCCGAGCTCCAGCACTAACACTGCCCTCCTCTGGATGACAACCCACCCCCACCCCGTCACTATATGAGATTATTCCTTTGTGTGTTTTTCCACGTGTTGACTCTTCCGCGCTAGAACGCCGCTCCTGTCCTGCCCACTGAAGCATTCTCTGGGTCTAGAATAGAGCTTTGCTCATGGTTATTTAGGAAGCCCTGGTGGCCTGGAGGTAAGGAGCTGGGCTGCTATTCCAAACCTCTGTAGTTTGAATCCACCAACTGCTCCATGGAGAAAGATCCACAATTTCCTCCCACCTAATTCTGCTACCTCTGAAACCCAACTCAAAGGTGTACAACCGACAACGCATGGTCAGAACCACTCGGACTCGATCCTTTAGCGGGTTTTCTTTCTCCAGAGCAGCTCTGGTGGATTCGAACCGCTTGCCTCTGGGATGGCAGTGCAGCTCCCTACCCCACTGGCTAGCAGAGCTCCTTGCACACGGTGAGTGTGCCATAATTAAACCCCTGCAGGAATAAAGGAGCGCACGGAAGCTCTGCCACCTTCGGCTCCAGGTGCTGGCACCTTGCAAGACTCCATCCTAGCCCCTAACGTCTCTCACCATTAACCCTCTTCCTGTCATACCTAAAAAGAACCCTGGGAACTTGCGAAAACAGAACAGAGACCCTCTCCCTCTCAACACAACGCTCTCATCAATGGAACTGAGCCTGGGTGCGCAGGGCACAGGCCCCGCGTGGGGTGCAAGTGGACTGTGGGGGCGTGTCCTGGGGCGTTACCTGCAGGCTGAGCGCCATCTGCCGAATGTATAGCATGTTCAGGTCCTCCAGGATGCGTAGCCGGTCCTGCATCTCGGGGCCCCCAGTGTCCCTTCCCTCGCAGACCCCTGCAGAGCCGGGGGCAAGCACTGCGCCGCCCCACTGTTCTTCCCACTGTGCCCTCAGTCTTGACCGAAGCCCAGGCCGCCTGAGTCCCTATCTGCTCCAGGGAGACCCCGCTGAGGGCTGGGACGACCTTCTCGCCTAGTGCGTGCTGCAGGCAGCCAGGCAAGGGAGGAAAGGAAAGAGATGAGGGCCAGCGGGGTCCCTAGCGGACAGGCCAGCTGTAGAGGGGGCTCTGGGCACAGGGTGTCCAGTCTGGCGTGGGTGGCAGCTGTTTTCCCAGCTGTGGAAGAAAGAGGCCCTTTCATCCCGTCTCTGGTCCCTCCTCAGCCCCCGCCCACAGCCCAGTGGTGGACAGTGTGTCTGTGTGCGCAGAGGGCGTGAGGGGCAGGCGCAGCTGCAGGGGGGCAGGGAGCCGTCCTGGGCAGGTCCCTGGAGCGCACGGGTGTGCAGGAGGGTGGCGCTCGTGGAGAGGGGACGCTGGCCTAGTATGTGGATTGGGAGGGAGAGGGACAGAAGCGAAGACTTGCAGGGCGAAGGGACACAGGAGTGAGTGAGTCCCGCCGCCCGGTTTTAACTCTCCCGGTTTCCACTCGGGGCCCTGTCCGCCCGCCCCGCCCGGGACTCACAGTTACCTCGCTTTTCCAGAAGGGAGGAGAGGGAGAGAGGGAGGGAGAAAGTCAGGGGTGTGCCTGCCTGCTGCCCCACTCCCCTCCGAGGGCCCCTTCCCTTCCAGACAGGAAACCAGCCCCGGTCCCAGCCAGCTGTGGCCTGCCCCCCTGCACGCCCGCGGAGTCACCGGGGTGGCGGCCCGCCTGC